TACCATACATTTTGACATATCATCCTATGTCATCTTCAGTGGATTTTAAACTGGAGTGTTCCTAATTAACTAACGACTTCTAATCAATCTATTATTACTATTTTATTCTACTATTATTTCTAATTAACTTCCAATTACTGTGCATTGTCCTCACTTAGTTAATTACAAACACTTCAGTTCAAATTCGTATGCAACAAGGTGTAAGTGGCATTTTGACAATGCAAGTTGCATGAAATAATCGACTTGAAATAATCAACAAGAAACCAATATATTATTTTTTTAGTAATTTATAAGTATACCGAGTTGCTGCAGAGTTCATATTGTTAGACCCAATTCTTGATCTCAAAAACAATTGGTGTTTATGAATTTCTTTTTCTAGCCACTTATAAACATACAAAATAATTAATAAAGTAATTGATTATCCATTGATGATTGTTTCTGTAAAATTATTCCTAATTTGAATTTAACGATTTATATCAAACGTTGTTTAATAATTTACTAATAGTAGTAAAAATATGAAACAATCAGTCGTAGACCTTATACTAAATGTTGTATGAGGTCTATGCAATTAGTTCATACCTAGATATAGTTTATAAAATTATCATAATTTTAATTCTTTATGAATCAAACAATCAATTTATAGACTGTCCATCAATTCAGATTATATTTAGATAATAATAAAAGTCTAAAAACTTTTTTTTTATTTATTTATTAAAAATAAAATTGCAAATCTTTATTAGGCATTCAAACAGCCTGGCATGAAGTTGGTAGTAGGCCAAATTCATAACAGAATATTTAAAAAAAAAAAACTAATAATCTATTTCAATTAATACTTAGAAGTATAGGCAATAAAATAATAATTTACTTGGCAATGAAAAGTTAAATAGATATAAAATGTGTAAAAAGAGGTTTTAGAGATGTTGGAAATCGAATTTCAAAAAATTTGTACTGAAAAAATTGACAGTCCTATTTTTCTAATGTTCATATGCACCCATACCTATATATATGTAATAGTTTTATTCAATTAGACTTTTTTCAAATTTCGGAAAATTATATTAAAATATTTTTATGTATTTAACATTAAAAAATGTATTGTTTTTGACTTTTTATATGATTAAGTTTAGTTATTAAAATTGTATAAGGCTCTTAGGTATTAAATATTTATAATGGAGGTGCATATTATGCATCTTCATTTAACATAACTTTGGCTTATTTACACATAACATTTTTTTAATATCTATACCTATTCCATATGGAACATAAGCAAATTTTTCGTAGTACTCGAATTTCCTAAATTAAATGCCAATCCAGTGATTTTTATTTCAGTGATTAGTAGTTTGATTTTTTGTTAAAAATTTTTTCAAAAATATCTACTATGATGCTCCTCTCTTAATTTTGCCCACACCTCCTATTAACAGAAGCATCAATTCGCAAGTTTGTTTCTAATAAGATTCAAATCAGATGGTTAAAATCTGAAATATACGTAGCACAGATTTCACTCAGGTTGCGTTCAAAGTTTATTGTGAAATGTTTTCTCTTCGTAACAGAGAGCACAAGCAAAAAATATTTTCGGTTTGAATGTATAATAAATGAGAAATGAAATTTTTAGTTTGTTTGCTGTGTATTTATTTTTGTTCTTGCTAATTTAATATTCCGAATAACAAGCAACAGCTCTAGAACAACAAAGAAAATATTTGTGTACAAGACAGCAGTGATAAAGTGAAAACCATAAAAGTAGCTGAAAAGGTTAAAATATTTATAAGTAAAAAAATTGAATATTAACATAATTCTAATGAAATTTTATGTAAATTGATAAAAAAAAATTGAAAAATAATATAATGTACCAAATATTTGTTCGGCATTAAAATATATATGCATTTGTTTTAACAGAAAATGCGTCGAAATCATAGGTAATATTTATTTTAAAATTTACGTTCAGAAAACTAAATACGTCTCATCATTCAGCTAAAAATATACAATAAAAAGCACTAAAACATTAATAATACAATTTAAATCAAATTCTATATACCATCAGAAAAAACAATAACACTAAAACAATAAATAAATTATATTGAAAAAAAAAGTTTTTAAAATAGTTTGTGATCATATAAAATATTTTGAAATAGTTTAAAATTTTGGTTTAAAGTAGATTGTATACAATTAAAAAGTTTATTTTTTTTGTTTTTTTTTTAATTTAGTTGTTCCAGTATTTTTTTTTTTGCTTTATGCAGAATTTCATTAAAATTGTGTAATTAACATTTTTGTACTTATATTTTTAGGTAAATTATAAGACCATATAAAGGAAGTATAAATAATGAGACACATATGATTCAAACAAAAACTTTAAATAAATATTATATTTATTTTATAGTTAAATTTTGAATATATATATATATATATATATATATATATACATATTGCCGAAGGTCACACGATCGCTATAAACGAACATTAAATATCTGCATATATAAATAAATTAGAAACAGTTTGTAATCGGTATTAATAATTGCAATGAGCACATCTATATTAGATTTATTAAAATATTTATATTAAATTATGAAGTTTTGATATGAATTTTCCTAAACTTATAAAAGTTCTATATAACAGACTATTATACAAAAAAGTAAATGTGTAATAAAATAATAGTATATAAATAAATATTTCTACATATAGTATGTACAAAAAAATTAATATAATAGTAAAATTATTGTTAAACGAAAATAACACTAAAGTGGAAGTGAAGGGTTAAGATGATTTAAAATAATTTTAAATATTATTATTTCTGTAAATCAAAATTAAAATAGTTAAAACTAAAAATCCAAGACTTATATATATATACTACTTGAAGATACAATAAAAATCTTTCTTCCATCACAATTACTGACAGTGAGTAAACTTTTTCTGATATTTTTTTTTGCTGGATGTATGAGGCAAAAAGTGCCCATACTATTTAATGATACAATGAAAGAAAAGTTTTTTTTATATAAATCATTTTTCATTAATCAAAATTGCGGACGTACGTTACTATGTTGTTTTTTTTTTGCTTTTGAGCCTTGATTAAAATTCTATTAAATCCTCTTCATAATTAATTAGAAAAAATTAGCACGTGTTCGTTTGTTTACATATTTTTTGTAAATTTTAATTTTAATTTTCAATAAACCGGAACAACCCGGAACGAAAGATTTAAATCCGGGACAAATATTGCTTTTAGAAAAAAACGTCCAAAAATTTCCAAAATTTCTCAAAAATCTAAGTTTTTTAAAAATGTTGAAATTTAAAAAAAAATTACTATACGGGAAGTTCCAGCAATTTGCCTTGAGGCACGATGCCATACACCACTAGTTGTTTTCTGTTTTAATAAATCTTTAGAATACTTTCGAATCTTATATATAGATTGTCGGTTTTTCATATTTCATGCAATAATGCATCTAATTTTTTATCCTCAGGTCTAAGTTTATTAATAATTAGTTTTCTACTTACAATTAGTGAATGGCAAAAATAATTTTTTTCGAATAAATGTAACAAAATATAAAACTAGTGGGGTGCATGGCATTGTGCCTTAAGGCAAATTGCTGGAACTTCCCGTACCGTAATCAAAAATCTTGGTACGAAACCCAAAAAAAATTACACGAAATGTGTACACATTATTAAAATCTCTATAAAATATCTGATAATTTGATGTACATACGAGGTGTGTTCAAAAAGTACCCGGAATTACTAATAATTAAATTTCGCGGGTCTGGAGTGTCTGATTGTCAAATTTTTTTTTTTATTGTGTTGGTATACATGCCCCTAAAGTATGATGAAATTTTCAGCTATATTCACTTTGTCTGTGGTAGTCGCTAAGGTTCGACGTGTTTTTCTGAGCTCGGCGATTTTTACAATGGAAGAATTGAAAAGTCAAAGAATTTGTATTAAATTTTGCGTAAAAAATGAAATAAAGTGTTGCAAAGTGCAAAAATTCACCAGATATGGCTCCGTGTGACTTTTTCCTATTCCCAAAGTTGAAGAGACCCATGAAAGGACGGCGGTTTTCCTCGATTGAAGAAATAAAGGCCGAATCGCTGAGAGTGCTCAAGGACATATCAAAAAGTGAATATCAAGGGTGCTTCGAAAATTGGAAAAAACGCTGGCATAAGTGTATTATATCTGGGGGGGACTACTTTGAAGGGGACCACATTAATGTAGACGAATAAATAAATATTTTTTTGAAAAAACGAAAATTCCGGGTACTTTTTGAACAGACCTCGTATGTCTAATAAACATTTTTGACCGCCAAATGACATTATTCTAACTTATTTTTATTGAGAGTCCATAACCGCTAAACCTGCCCCGCCTTCCCAGAAATTTAATCAGTTTTTTATCTTGTCAATACAAGTAAAATGTTTTTTGAATTATTAAAACCGGACGCTCCGTTCTATTACAAACTGAGTTGCCGTTTTTGGCACTTTTTGCCCTGTATCTTTGGAACGGCTAGACTTGCCTTCGCCAAAAACTAATCAGCACGTCTCCTTATCAATACAAATTGAATGATTTTAGAATTATTCAAATCGGTTGATCGGTGTTCCCGAAATCGTCGACGAAAATTTGTATCCGCACACACATACGCACACACATACACACACACACACATCCAGTTTTTCTAAGGTATGCCAAAATATTCAGAAACCTTTGAAACGTAAAGATATATAAATATTTTCATTTTCGATTTATTTGCGATTACTATAACTTACCCTACGGGAAGTTAATGATCTTTAGAATACTTCTGAATCTTATATATAGGTTGCAGGTTTTTCATATCTCATGCAATAATGCATGTAAATTTTTGTTTTCAGGTCTAAGAGTGCTTAGCAAGATAGTCGTTTTTTGTTTTTTATTTAATAAATGACAAAAGTGATTTTTTTTCGAATTTTGTTTTTTCATTTAATAAATGACGAAAGTGAATTTTTTTAAAATAAATGTAAGAAAATTTAAAATAATTCCCGAATCGCGCCTTAGTATCGATAGCCCATCCTACTCGGTATTATCGATCGCTCTCCTCGGCCTCGGCCACACATGTTCTCTGCCATGATAATCACCATCGCCAAAGCCAAAGGCGTTTGGAACATTGTTTCCAAAATTTTCTGCAAAACCAACAATGCATTGATGTGAACAATCAATTCCAAGCATGGGAATCATCAAAACAAACAAAAAATAGTAAAACCAATCATCATGTTCAAGTATATAACAAAAACAGCAAAAGAAACTACACACAATATTTTAAGGTTATGCACTAATCAGTATAAATATAAGTTCTATCGTATGACCAGCAATATTCGGAGAGGACAAAGATATTTTATAACTAATTTATGGGACGAGAGAGCTTTTTTGAGAGGTATTTTTCATCGTGTGAGGTCACAGGTAACAGGTTACAGAAATTCCTGATATAAATTGGATTTTGTTGTATTGAGTCTTGTAAAGGATATTCTAGTAAGACAACTCTTCTTCAATAAAAACATGACATAACTATATATCTTGGTCTTTGATCAATCACTCAAAATACAGTAATAACAATTATAATATTAGAATCCAGTTGTGCAATTAAAGAGTCATTATTCAAATATACAGCTAATTCCCATATTAACTCGTTTCCACGAGATTGATTTAACTTAAAAGATTAGCCATAAATTTGCTCTTACCAGAATATTTCTTCAATAAGACTACAAATCTTGCTCTCCTGAGTCAAGACTTTTAAAATCAATTTGCAATGTTTCAATTTTAAATGAATATTTGATAACACATCACTCAATAAGTCCATTAGAACTAAAATATAATTTAATTAATAATTAAGAATTTGTTTGATGCTTTATAACATTTTATAATGGCCAGTTACAATATATCTACTATGATTAAATTAATAATTATATATCCTACTATTAAATATATTATATAATACTATTAAATAATTAGTTACAATATAGCCTATGGACTTATTTAGTGACAGATTTTCTGAATCATATTTTGTTCAAAGTATTTCATTCTATTAATTTGAATTTATGAATTATAAGATGCACATTACATTAATTTGAATATATATACACCTAAGTCTGTTTTTACACGGTTTTGATATAACACGGTTTGAAAATTGAATATTTTTAATTTTTTTACATGATTTTATTCCATTTAGCACGATTTGAAATTTTATGTACTTAAATTTTTTTGGTCAAATTTAATTTTTGCGAAGTATGTTCATATCATATAAAAGTATTTATGAAAGAAAGTCTGAAACCATCGATAGTAATGATAGTTTGCGAACACTAACTTAAAGATTTAAGTGAATTTTATTTTTTACCTTAAAAATTGAATAACCTATTCTTTTCGTTCACAACATAGTTTTTTAGTTCCTGAACTTGCCATACATTTAATTAATATTACTTTTAAGATTAGAGTGCATATCTTTTTTATCATTAATTACTATGCTTGTGAAAATAAGCATTATATATTTGATTTAATAAAATAAACATGAATTCTTGTTCTTAAAAATTCTTGTTTTTTTACTATTTTCAATAGGTTTTAGAGATTAGGAACAAATCACCCATTTTTGTATGAGATCAATGTCTTTTTTTACACGTTTTTTTTTTTACACGGCTTCTTCTGGAACCAATCTACCGTGTAAATACAGACTTAGGTGTATATATATATATATATATATATATATATATATATATATATATTAATATAAATATAAGAATATATATATTAATATATAAATATGTAAATATATATTAATATAAATACCTTATCTTTTCCAGTTTATTCGCCACAAAAGGGAACTCTTCCTCTGCACGACAGGTGCCTATGCGTTCGATTGGGAAAATGAAAGAATATCCCTACAGTTGATGCATGAATACATAAATGAAATATCATATTGTCATAAACTAGTCAATGAATCAATCGTATGCGAAATATGTCACAGGCGTAGGTGATAGATTTAAAATTAGAAAATATGATCTATTGCCAATGCAGCGAGAACAATGAATCTAACAAAACAAAATGTTATGATAGTTGGCAACCATTTATTGAAAGAAAAGATATTTTGGTTTGGCGTAAAAAGGTTCCTGGTGGCATGTTTGTTTATAAAGGTAATGAGATTTGTATGCATGAAATGTGATTATCTTTTGTGATCTGATTTGATTCATTGATTCTAGTTTATGGTGCATACAATGATGTATCTGCAGAAGATTTTCTTCACGTTCAAACTGATATTAATTATCGGAAAGAATGGGATAACACTGCCGTTTCTTTAGATATTATAGATACAGACCCAGATCCTACATCTAATAGTCATGTGATTTACTGGGAAATGCTATGGCCTGTAAGTTTATTTCAAGATTCCTAGACAAATGGTTTTTCTTTGCAAAATTTATAGTATTAAATTTCAAATTTTGAATTTTAAAATAATTACAGAGATTATTTTCAAACCGTGATTATGTATACAATAGGCGATATATAACAGATAAAGCCAAACAAGCGGTGGTCATAGTTTCCAGAAGTACATCACATCCGAGTATTCCGAAGAAACAAAAGAATCACAGAGTGTCCGAATACTGGTCATACATGGTTATTCAATCAAAATCAAAGTTATCAGAGGTGATTATCTTTTATATACACCTAAGTCTGTTTTTACACGGTAGATTGGTTCCAGAAGAAGCCGTGTAAAAAAAAAAATGTGTAAAAAAAGACATTGATCTTATACAAAAATGGGTGATTTATTCCTAATCTCTAAACCCTATTAAAAATAGTGAAAAACAAGAATTTTTAAGAACAAGAATTTATGTTTATTTTATTAAATCAAATATATAATGCTTATTTTCACAAGCATAGTAATTAATGATAAAAAAGATATGCACTCTAATGTTAAAAGTAATATTTAATTAAATGTATGGCAAGTTCAGGAATTAAAAAACTATATTGTGAACGAAAAGAATAGGTTATTCAATTTTTAAGGTAAAAAATAAAATTCACTTAAATCTTTAAGCTAGTGTTCACAAATTATCATTACTATCGATGGTTTCAGACTTTTTTCTTTCATAAATACTTTTTTGTGATATGAACATACTTCGCAAAAATTAAATTTGACAAAAAAAATTTAAGTACATTAAAATTTCAAATCGTGCTAAATGGAATAAAATCGTGTAAAAAAATTAAAAATATTCAATTTTCAAACCGTGTTATATCAAAACCGTGTGCAAAAAGACCGTGTAAAAACAGACTTAAGTGTATATATATATATATATATATATATCATTTATTTTAGCTAACAAATTATACTTTAATAATATGTAGGTTTTTGTTTTATATAGCGAAGAAAATGCATTACGTATCCCAGGCTAGGTCTTTTGTCTGTGTATGTTAGACTCGGTAGATAATACCAACTAAAATCTCTGCTTATCTCTTGCTTTTTAACCCTACAGAAAACGCAGTTAGGCATTACTTTATGAGAGGAGGCTCTAGAATTCTATAATTCTCACTCTTAATTGAACTTCTGTTCTGTAGGATAGGTTACAGTAATTTCAAGAAAGTATAAAATTAAATTTTTTATATCTTTACGTTTCAAAGCCTTCTGAACATTTTGGCATACCTTGGAAAAAATGTATGTGCAATATAAATTTTCATTCACTCTGAGAGCATGGATAAATTGATTTGAATGATTCAAAAAACATTCAATTCCTATTGATGGGGAGACGTGCTGATTGGTTTTTGGAAAAGGCAAGTCCAGCCGTTTCTAAGCTACGGAGCAAAAAGTGCAGTAAATAGCAGTTTTTGAGAGGACATTTTGAAAAAACATTTCACTTGTATTGACGGACGGACGGAATGAAGAATTGATGAAATTTTTGGGAAGACAGGTTTAGTGGTTTCAGAGATAAAGAAAAAAGTTTTAAAAAAAAATGCCTTTTAGCGGTCAAAAATAATCATTAGACATATGCACATTAAATTATCAGATATTTTATAGAGATTTTAATAATAAGTATAAATTTTATTTATATTTCTTTGGATTTTGTACCAAGATTTATTCTGTTTAAAAGTTAGATTGCGATGAGGAGCTTAAGTGCTTCGATATTTAATCTCCAAAACGCCACTCAGTGCGATCGCTTTGAAAATAATTCTAATTTCTCAAACTTTTTTCAAAAATCTTTAGAAAAAATTTAATCTTCTAAAACTTTTAAATAACGGTACAGGAAGTTTTGGCAATTAGCCTCAAGGCACGATGACATGCACTACTAATTCACTAAATATTTTTAGCCAGGAATTGAGTTTGTGTTAACATATTTCGACAATCCTGGAGTTTCAATTCCAAGTGCTATCACTTCTTGGGTAGCAATGAATGGGATGCCAGACTTCTTAGAAAAGCTACGAACTGCCACGGTTGCATATTCACATTCAAAAGTTGTACCAGCTGCAAAGGCTGAATTAAATACAACTTGGCCTGTTGTAGATCCTGGTTATGAATATCCACCTGATCACATACCAATTTACACAAATCCAGGTATACAGCACAACTTAATTATATACACCTAGATTTTTGTTACAACTTTTCATATATTACACAACTGATAAAGATTGAATTTTAAAGTGTGTTTAGGTGGTGACAACACACAGGAGCCACAGGTGGAAAATGTCTCATTTAACAACACAACAAATGTAGAAAATATTGTAGAAACAAGAACGGAAGAAAAACCTAAATCTAGTTGGTGGTCAATACTTTTTTTCTATTACTACTAACAGCCTTTTTCAATAAGTTTATATACTTTTACATAATGACAGAAATTATAAAAAATAAAGTGAACATGTAACTAATAAGTTTTTTGAAAGGGATATACTGTAAATTTGTATTTCCACAAAAATATAGTAAAACATATTTATATTGTTTTTTATTCAGAGTTTGTTAATTATCTATATTGTATATTATCATCATATGATGTATTAGTTTGTATAAAGTTTTATTTATAATTTGTTAAGTATTCAGTAGAAATAAAAATATAAATTCTCAATTGTTCTGCTTACTTAATAAAAAAAGAATTTAATATTTTCAGGATAGTCTTCATGAATTACAAATAATTAACAATAGCTTTTAAAGACAGCATCATTAAAGCATTTCTTATACATTTAATTCATTAACTATGAGTCTGTATGTATTAATAATAATTGGTAAATTAATAAAATGTCTGGCTCAACAATGTGCATGAAATGTTTTCAAAAAGATATATTATATATATATATATATATATATATATATATATATATTGACCAATGAAGCAATAGACACAATTAATATTTGATATTAAAAATAGAAAAAAAAACAGAATAAACACTTATTTAGTTGTTATCTGGTGTCATGCACAATTTCCATGAAGAAATAGAACAAAGAACCATAATTGATTGGAACTTAAGGTTGAAAATATACAATATTTTAAGTTTATGCACTAATCAATATAAATGTAAATTCTATTCTATGACCAGCATTGTACAGAGAGAACAAATATAATTTATAACTAATTTATGTGACAAAAGAGCTTACTCGAAAGGTATTTTTCATCGTGTGAGGTCTCAAGTAACAGGCTACAGAAATTCCTGATATAAATTGAATTTTGTTGTGTTGTAAAAGATATCCTAGTAAGACAACTCTTTTTAAATAAATATATGACTTAATCATACTTTGGTGTTTGAGCAATACCTCAGGACAGAGATACAAAATAATTATAACATAAAAAATCAAGTTTCCCAATCCAATTGTGCAAAAAAATCATTAGTCAAATATTAAGCTAAATTCCCATACTAACTTGTGTGCAGGTGATTGAGTTAATTAAAAATATTTATCATAAATTTGGTCTTATCAGAATATTTCTTTAATAGGGCTATAAATCCTGGTTTCGTGAGTCAAGATTTATGAGATGAGTGAGTCATTTATATTATGAGAATGTTTTATTGCTTTAATTAAAAAAAAACATTGTCTATTACATATGGATTCTCTGCAACATATTTTCTTGTTATTGTTTTCAAAATTGATTCTGTTAATTTGAATTGATATAGAATAAGATGTATATCGGATTCATTTGAATATAAATATTATATTGTCTTTTTCAGTTTTTATGGCACAAACGGGAACTCTTCCTATGCACAACAAGTGCTTACACATTGGATTGGGAAAATCGAAAGAATCTCCTTACAGTTAATAGGCTATCACTCAGGTTATGGAATAATTATAATATAGAACAGTTTCTGCAACGTATTTTCTTGTTTGAATGTATTTCATTGTTTTCAAAATTGATGATAATTTGAATTGATGAAGTATAATAAGATGTACATCAGATTAATTTTAATATAAATATTATATTGTCTTTTTCAGTTTTTATGGCACAAAAGGGAACTCTTTGAATTCGATTAGAGAAATTAAAGAATATTCTTACAGGTGATAAGTTATCACTCAGGGCACAGTTACGGAATAATTATAATATAGAAGATTTTCTGCAACATATTTTCTTGTTTAAAGCTATTTCATTATTTTCAAAATTGATTATGATAATTTGAATTGATGAAGTATAATAAGATGTGTATCACATTAATTTGAATATAAATATTTTATAGTCTTTTTCAGTTTTTATGGTACAAAAGGGAACTCTTTGAATGGACTACAGGTGCTTACGAATTCGATTAGAGAAATTAAAAAATATTCTTACAGGTAATAAGTTATCACACAGGTCACAGTTACAGAATAATTATAACATAAAATATGATTTTTTTCCAATACAATACATGAAAAGATATAGTAAACACTTTTATTTAGGTGCTATCTGGTATTCTGCACAATTTGCTAGAAGGAATAGAAATAAGCACAATAATTGAAAGGAACGCAAAGCTGATACGAAAGAACAAATGTTATTGTGTATATAATATGTTAGTCCAGTCATTTAAGCTTAAATTAGGTAAGAATCTCGGAATTCGAGATACCCAGCTGTAAGTCTGTAAATACTTGTATATTGACACCCTAAAGTTGTCTGAAAACCTACATAAAGTAAACATGTGTAGGTTTTAAGACATCTTTTAGGTGTCAATATATAAGTATTTACAGACTTACAGCTGGGTATCTCAAATTCCGAGGTAAACTTACTATAATGACTGAACTAGTTACAAATGTATATTATTAAATATTATAAAACTAATACCACCAATCAGCTGTCAGCACTTAACTGTCATCTTTTAATAATCATTTCAGTTGTTAGGTTATGTAACTGATAACGTAGGAAGCATTTTTATCTGTCGAAAGAGATAAGAACGAACGTATTGAATTGAGTGATATATTGTCTAACTTATTTAATGGTGCTTTGTACCGAACAACAATCGAGTGCGAATTCAACTAGTTTAAATTTAAATTATTACAATTATCAAAATGGCGATGCTAAAAACCTTAGCTAACCTACGACTTCTTGCAAATGTTTGTGACAAACCTCAAATAGTTTCTGCTTGTGCGAATTTGTGCTCATCATCATATCGTATCCTTTTGATAAAATAATTTCATTTTATTTATTGTGTGACCTTGCATATGGAATGTGTTTAGTTTTATAGTTTTATTAAAATGTAGAGATCAAAGTGCATTTGTTTTAGTTTTTGACGTTTCATTTTGACAGTGAAAGTAGTGTTTACACTGCAGTGGAAATATACCTTTTGGTAACTGAAATATAATTTGAATCGTGATAAGTTCTGAATTTAAAAATTCAAGGCACCAGGAATTATAATATAAAAGATTTATTGTTCAAATTACATATGTAATATAATAATTTATTATATATTTAATTATTATGATGATCCTAGAATAATCTCGGACAAATAGCGGGAGTGTACCACCACCGCGAGACCGGCGCCAAATTTAAAATTCAAAGTGGGGAAACATTGTGAAATAAAGAAACGATTATTAATTTCTTTTATATTGATTGTAATTTATTTTGATTCAAAGATATTTTACAACTATTCTAAATAAACGAAAAATAGTGTATTTATCATATTTTTTAGAAACACATGCTTCCACTTTTAATGATTTGTCCTATATTAAATCTCAACATTTCAAAAATAGTGTATTTATCATATTTTTTAGAAACAAATGCTTCCACTTTTAATGATATATCCTTTATTAAATCTAAATTATGGTCCTACAATTAATAATCTAGGATAGCTGGTGGTAGACATTTCCGCGAAGCCGGCGCCAAATTTAAAGTGATTCAAAATTCAAAGTGGAGAAACATTTGTTTCCGAAAGACATTTGTGAAAAAAAGATTATTATTTTTTTTCTATCGATTGTAATTTATTTTGATTCAAAGATATGTTACGCTATTCTAAATAAATGAAAAATAGTGTATTTATTACGTTTTTTCAGAAACAAATGCTTCCACTTTTAATGGTTTGTCCTATATTACATCTAAACCTTTCGTAAATCAGTTCAATTCACAATTTATATTCATTTAAAAATTGAAAAAGAAGTCTGAAATAAAATTTATAATTTTTTTTAATTTATGCATTTTTTCATACATTAATGAACTCTTTTTCTTTGAATTATTCAAATATTTTTTATTATCAAAATATTTGGAGAATTACTAATTCTCCTAATTTTTTCTTAACTTTGCGAATGAGAATTTTATGTTTTTTCTAGAAAACCCGATTTGCTAATTTTATATTTTCTCCACGTTACAAATCATTCTGAATAATTTATTTTAAAATGTGTTTATGTGAGCCAAAATTCGATCTTTCGTCGACGTTTCCCAAAAACCGCTGTACGGATATGAAATTTTTTTTTATTATATAGTAATTTTTACACCTGACCTAATAAGTAAAATTGTAGGATAAAAACATTACTTTTAAATACAAAACTTTCTGATTTCAAAAATTTTAAAGCCCATTTCATGGAGTTCGATAAGAACTCGCGTTGATAGTTTTGCATGACGATCGGCTGAGCCGTTTCGTTAGAATTAGCAGAAAAGTGCAGAATGATTTTTTCACTTTTTCTCAAACAATCTGGAATCAATTTTGAAAATTCAAAAACCGTAAGAGAGATATCAGTTTAGAAACGAGCTAATAAATAATTTTTGTTAGTTTTTGATAAAGATCGGCTGGGCCGTTTCTACTTTCATTTTTGGACGATTTTTTGATAATAGAATAGAATTTCTGGTTCAATGCACATCCTAAAATATTGTGGGCTTACCAAAAGCGGTTTATAAAAATTCATCAAGATTTTGAACTTATCATTGGACCTGTTAAATTTCAAAATTTTATTTTAAAAGTAACTAAATCTAAATTCTTTCTGATTATGTCGATTATTTACAAGTATAGAGATTTTTTTGCAACTTTCCTCAAGGAAAAATGTTTTAGATATTTATAGGTTTTAAAATAGGTTTTAAATATTTGTGCAAATGAATTCGAATTACTCTGAAAGGAAGTTAAAAGTAAAATCGTAACTTTTTAAATTGACGATTTAATTTTATTATTGCCATTTCAATAACTTTAATTTTATGGAACATTTCTAATATACTTGATAAAATTTAAATCGATGACAAAAGCCAAGTACTTTAATCTATATTAGCTATATTATTATACGTGTTCAACGAAATAATTAAAAATCA